ATTAGACAAGATCTCACTGTGTAGTCCTGACTGGCCTGAAACTTGCTATGTAGACAAAACTGTCCTTGAACTCACAGAAATCCACATGCCTCTGCCTCTCTAGTGCTGGGATTAAAGGCGTGCATCACACTCAATAAGTATTTGATGAATTAATGGATGCTTGGTAAGCAGTATTGTGTACTTTTAAATAGTTTTCATTGAGTACCAGTTCACTGAAAATTAAACACTAGTGTGGATATACCTGAGTGTTTTGTTAAAAATGTTTCCTAAAGTTCAATCACTCGAGTGTTATTATATACTTCAAAATCTGCTATGAATTGTCAGCTTCCATTTAAAGATTGTTTGAAAATAGGACATTAATCAAATATAACCAAAGACTATGCCGATAACCAGAAAAAACAGAAAGAAGTTGATAACAGTCGACTTCTTGTAATGTCTCTTGTGATAACTATATATTCCAGTGTTTATTTGAACTAAAACTAATATTGGTTCTTTTAAAAAGACTACTCAGTTTGCACAGTTCTTCTCTAGTAAGAACTTAAGTGAACCTCATCTGTCACATAGTGACCTCCTTTGAGTCTCAGATAAGAAGCTGGTGGTCAAATGATTTGTTGAAGGTTAGAAAGTTTTTGGCAGGTCCACAATTAAAAGGCCCATCTCCTTGGTGCTGAAACTGTGGCTCCATGGTTAAGACTGAATTCTGTTCTGTAGCGGACCCTAGATTGGTCCTCAGCTCCTGAGTCAGGTTACTCACAACTCCAGTGCACTTGATGTCCTGATGTCCTTATATGCATATGCCCCTACTCCAACACACATACACCTCATTAAAAATAATAAAAATAAATCATTAAAAAAAAGATTCCCACCTCCATTTTTCTGCCTTGTACTGTGGTATACCTTTGTTTGTTTGTTTTGAGACAGCATCTCACTGTAACTGTGGCTGACCTGGAATTTGCTATATCGATCATGGTGGCCTTGAAACTCACAGCGATCCACCTACCTCTGTTTCCCGTGATAAATTATTTTATTTAGGGACATAAGATGTAATATGTTTTCTTTTATGAGTAAGGTAAAGATTTCATTAAAAATACAATCTTTTAAACATTTAGTAAGGGGATGTATTTTTAAGTATCATATGGGAAGTAGTCCACATCTAGGTGATGATAACTGGGTTAATCAAGCAAACCTCCAAAGTGGTGTTTTTACTTTTAATTACCATGAAATTATGATCGGTTAATTAACCAAGAAAATCATAGCTATTTTATTATTATTATTCCTTTCTTCAAAAGGTCATGTACATGAAAAGATGAGACATTTACAGAATAAATCTAGATCCTTTAAAAATAAGTATAGTTTTGTTAGTTGTGTTCTTAACAGTAAGAGAATTATTAAAAAAGCAGGGATGCCTTACATTTTTAAGTAATTTTAAGGTGACAGAGTATTGGGGTTTAGTTAGGTGGTAGAGCATTTGTCTAGTATTCACGAGGTTCTAGGCCTAATCCCCATTACCACACCCACACACCCACACATACATATTTGCATATATGCATAACAACAGTAATCATAAATAAAATTAGTATCACAGAGCTAGGCATAGTACTATAAATCTATAATCCCAGCCCTTGGGATGCTGAAGCAAGAGGGTTGTGAATATAAGGTCGTTTTGATATATATAGTGAGATTCTATCTCAAATAAAAATTATCTGTACCACATTAGTGTATGTGTAGCAAACACTCACACACCTAAGATTAGGTAAAGCTTTAAATAAAAACAATTAATATTACAAAAATGTTAATGACTATAAAGCCAGGGTGTAAGTGGGCCTGGTGGTGCACACTTAAAATCTCAGGCTTTGAGTGGCAGAAGGATTCTGCCAGCCAGTCAGTGCTAAAGAGTGAGTTCTAAGACAGCTGTAGGTACACAGTGGAAAGTCCATCTCAGAAAACAAAGCAAAAACCCAAACCTCCAAAACAAAACCCTCTTGGGCCAGTGAGATGGTTCAGTAGGTAAAGGTGTTTGCTTCCAAGCCTGACAAACTAAAATCGATCCCCAGGACTAGATGATAGGAGAGAACTAACTTTACAAGATGTCCTCTGGTTTGCATGGGCACACCATGGACTGTGTGGGACAGCCTGTAAACAATATGATAAAACCAAACCAAACAACAACAACACAAATCAAAGACATGCGGAGTGGTGTGCACCTTTAATCCCAGCACTCATGAAGCAAAGGACAGCCTGGCCTACAGCCAGGGATAGCTCTGGTACACAGAGAAACCCTGTCTTAAAAAAACAAAAAACCAAACAAACAAAAATCCAAAAACATATACAAAGCCAATGGGTATTAAAAATATATATAAACTACAGCAATATTAAATTTTTTACCTCCTTTTTCTTTCCATGGGAAACCAATGATGATATTTAGGTGTGTTTTTCCCCGTTTTTTTTCTTTCTTTTTTTAAAAATGACTATATGGTATGCATTAAAAAAAACTTCACAGGTTGTATATTGTATTTTTGTTTATTTTTTATTTTATACTATATGTTTTTGAGCATTTTCCTACTTATGTAGGAAATTATAGGGCTATTATGAAATGAAGGAAAATGTGCAAACATTTCATAATAGCCCTGTAATTTATTATTGAAATACTACCTTGCTACTGGCTTACAGTACATAATATATTTTGCTATTGTTAATGCTGAAGTTTGTTCATATTGGTCCACTTTTTAATTAATAATTGCTTCAAAAATGGAATTTCTGATAACATTACCAAGCACTGTCCAGAAATGTATTCTTTTTATTTTCCCACTAAAAATGTTCTGGAGTGCTTTTTAATTTTATTGTACTCCTAATAGCAGACCAGCTGCTTTTTAAGAGCATTACTATTATTTCCGGACCTGGATCGTGTTGGAAAGATTAGTAGGTGGGTCCACATCTTTGTTCTGCTATCTAGAGTCAGTTAGCTGCTTGGGGCTAGCTGTCTGTTTGCTTATATCTCAGCCTGCTAAACCAAGATAAGATAAAGTGGACAGAAAAGCAGTTGAGTTGAGACCCATCCAGTGCACGCATGCTGTTCCGTCTGGCTCGCCTCCCAGCCTCCTCAGTAGTTTTAACTTTTTTCTTTACCCAACTGACTCTGAAAGAACAATCACATTTGTTGAAATCATATTTTAGTGTTTAAATTTCTCAAGTGATTAGGTATCTAAGTATATTTTTTTCTGAGCCTCAAGACACGTTGCTTCACTTTTAACATTAGGTACATTATGTTTACTTGATTTCTTCAATCACAGTTTCAAAAATTGTTTTTGTTTATTTGTGCGTGTGAATGTGTGGCGGTTCCAGGTGTCCACATTCCCTGGAGCTGGAGGTTCAGGTATTTGTGGGTGCTGGGAGTTAGACATATGTCCCCTGGAAGAGCAGCAAGTGCCCTTTTCACTGAGATATCTCTTCAGCCCCTAGGTACACACTACTACACTCCACCCCATCCCTCTCTTTCCCTGCCTTTTTCTGAAGTTTATTAGAGTTTAAGAGGAAAACCTCAAGGTAGGAAAAGCTGTAAACCTTTAAACTCTCTGGAAGAAAGGGGAATAAAGAAATGTAGCAGAAAGCTACATTTCTGCTGTCAGGTGGCTGATCTGAAGGTCAGTCACCTGACAGCAGGTATCCACTTAAGAATTTAAAAAATAAATTATTTGTTAGGTTGGAGATGTTCTCCATGATATATATCTGGAGTTCAGAGAATGGGCAACAAGCTTGCCTTCATCAAGTAGGTCCTGGGACTTGAACTTAGATCCAAGGCTCGCAGTAGCAGGCGTTACCTGCTGAGCTATCTTCCTTTCCCTCCTCTCCCAAGAGACCCTGGAAATTAAACTCTGGTCCTCTTATTCACAAGACACTTTACTGCTGAGTTGTGCCTTCAGCCCCTTCTTTTCCCTCACTATCAACCACATTTTAATGCCTGATGGTGTTGGATTTGTTTCTAATATATTTCAGACCAATGAAATTGCTCAGTAAATGAGTGCCGCTGGATGTTGTCCTCTTCTGCTGACATAAATATTACCCAGAATAAAGAAGGAATAAACAAAACTATTTGGGGCACAAAGCATTTACCGATTCCACCATCCCCTCTCAGTTTTCCTGTAGCCTTTATTAGTGGTTCATTATCAGTAACTCACTGCAGCGCACTCTAAACTTTCACATCGATCTTTTGCCTGTAGCTGTCAATGCTTGTTTCACAGACCCTGTATTGAGGAGAGCAAGGTAATCTGCCTTTCATGGCAAATAGGGCATTGGGTAGTTTGGTTTGGAGGATGTAAAACTTTAGTGCACACCTGGCTCATCTGGATACACACTAACAATATCGGATGTCGGGACCTCACGTACTTAGACTCTCATTCACAGTTTAGTGAACCCTGAATGCATTTATATTAGATAGCAGTTTCTGAAGTTCAAGAACATTTCCGATCATCTGCAACTGACTCCCCGAGGCTGCAGCTTGGAATTCAGCGTGTCTTGCAGCTGTTGCCACGCTTTCAGTTTTTCCCGGGCTGAGGTTTCCCAGGCGGCTGCTTTCCGTCAGCAGATGAGGTTTTGCAGGCTGTTACCACGTCCACGATTTGTCCTGACAGCGTCCGGTTCCCCAGAGCTGTTAAAAGGACTTGAGCTCGCCGAGGTAGAGCGTGCCCATGTGACTGCCAGCCGGGTTGCCAGAGGCGCGGCCATTTTTGAGGCGGGCACTCAACCTTGTTGCCCTGTGGGGCCGGGAGGGCAATGGGGAGGTGGTTACCAGGACTCAAGATGGCTCCCGGACCCACTAGCCAGCTCTTGGCAGGTCCCTAGCCCCCGTGGCAGCGAGCCTGTCCGAGCCGTGCGGGCAGCAAGCCTCCGAAATGAGTGCCGGGGCGGGGCTGCAGCGGTCCGGCGGGGGCGGGGCGTCCGCCTCCTCTGGCCGCAGCCAATCAGCGCGCGGGGCCAGCTAGCCCCGGGCCGCCCGCGCGCGGGGTGTGTGAGGACGCGCTCTGGGAAGCTGAGTGCCAGAGCAGGGGAGCAGTGGCTGTGGTACCTGCTGCTACCCAGGAGGACGCTGAGCATCGGACATCGGGCGCGGGGCGCAGCGTGCGGGACGGGAAGGTGAAGTCATGACGTCCGCCAGGTAAGCGGAGGGCGGCCGCTTCAGCCGTGCCCCGACTGGGCGGGAGCTTGCAGGTCCCCGGAGAACTATCGCCCCCGTCCTTGGATGGTCTGGAGTCTCCCTTTGCCACCGGCCCCCCTCAGGTCTCCTCACACTTCTCATCAGGGCATTTCTTGTTTCCTCCGAAGTTTTTGCGTCTGTAGCACAAGGCTCTGCCCTAGTTGTCTCCGCTTGCTTGAGGTGACCCTTGCTCATATTCCAGGGTCTGAGGCTTGTTTGTGTAGTGGATTTCTCAAGAAAATCTAACTATCTCTCGCCCTATCGACCCACCGTGGGGTTGCCCTGGTCCCAAGGGAACGTGGCATGCACAGTGTGTGGCCATTCCTCTGTGTCATGCCTTCTGATGAACTTCATGGTTGGCCATGAGCAGACCTGCAGAGTTGGCACCTCTCATGTAGATTGTTCCCAAGTTGTGAAACTGTGTGTCCCTAAAATATTTGCCTATGACTGGAATTTGTACTTTGGTTCTCGAAGGTACCATGTTTACCTACTTTTATCCGAGCGTCACAACTGAAATACATTTTGTGAGATGAAGTATAATAAAAGCCGACTGGCCCAATCACAGGTTCAGGGTTTTGAATGTTCCTCTATTTTTTTTTTTTTTTTTTTTTTTTTGCGGGGGTTGGGATGGTGGCGGCAAATGGTGATATGTACGTTATTTTAGCTTTTATTGAATGTTTATGTAAATATGACTTTATTTAAAAAAAAAAAAAGGACAGTTTCCTCGTTTACCTAGTGTTTTGGAGTGCCTTTTTAAAAGTAGATCTTGCCCTTTATTTTTCAAAAAGAATGGGAAGCTCCAGCCCAGCGCAAATTTGAAGAAGTGATCTGGGGCTATGAGCTTCAAAGAGCCTAAATCCTCATAATTTAATGGCTTTTTTAGTGGTAATTCTGATACTCATTTAGAACCTTCTCCACAGTATGGTAGGATGCAATGGCGCTGAACTTGGATGATGCCTTTTCTCGTACATTTATAAGTAGGGTGTAGAAATATGGAGACCCATATAGACTTTTTGGTAAATGACATTGCTGCAAATAAATCTATCTTTTAAAGTTAATGACTTTTAAGATGAGTTGAGATAACACTATGACAACAGTTAATTTCCTTTCTTTTCATTCCTATTTCCCTTCCCATTGTCACAGAATTCGGTGTGCTGTTCTAATGCTTTCTAAATACTCTGTTCTTTGGTGAATTCTTTTTTTTTTTTTTTTTTTTTTTTCTTTTTTGTCTTGGGGATTGAACTCAGGGCCTTGTGCATGATAAGCACATCCCCCCCAGTGGTCTTAATTGCTGGTGACTTCTCACTGGAGAAATGTCCAAATGGGTAGCAGTGAGATGTGTCTATAATGTAGAAATTCAGTAGTTGTTTTCAGAAGACTGATTTGAAAGTTAACACCAGCTTTGGATATATTTTGAAAAGGTGAATAAGTGATAGTGAAGTGTTTTTGTTTTTGTTTTCCTGCTTAAAGTCCTGACCTACCGTGACATAGCTTGAAAGAAAATCGCTCTTTGCTGTAGAAACTAAGTTGAAGAAAAGTTGAAGAGAATTTGTTAGGAGCAGGATTAGGAATTGAATCTAGATCTTGATGCCTTTGTAGAAACAGCACATTTAATTTTCTGAAAAAAAAAGTATCAGTAGACAAAAATTATAAAACATACAGCTGTGAGACATTTGTAGGACGCTTTCACTTACCTCTTTCTGGTAGCCTGGTTCAGGCATGGGCAGGGAGGATGTGGATGGTGAAGTTACGCTACATCGTTGTAGTTTTGAAAGTTTCCAATGGGGACTGCAGCCAATGCAGTAATGTCATGTCTTTATCAGTCATGATGTTAGGCATGCTCCCATTAACTGCTCATTCTAACAGTACCCTAAAAGCTAGGTCCTGATACCCTTTTCTGGTGATCCCAAGTTATCAGACTCTGACCCCATGTCCTGTGTTCTTGCTTTTACCCCACACTTAAAATAATTGTTGCTAAATATAGTAATGTGTGACTTTGCAATGGCTATCAAAGAATATAGGATTAGAAACCAGACGTACCTAGAATCTAATTGAGGCTCTTTTCTAATTATTTTCTAACATGTTTGAACATGTTTAAACATTTTCATTTGTTTAATGAAATACTTCACTGTTGCAACAGTAACCTGTATTCTACAGTGTTACTGGAAAAGTATGCTTTAAAAACTTTATTTCATTTTTTATATTTTTGAGACAAGGTCTAACTGTGTAAACTAGGCTTCCTTAGAACTTGCTGTAATAGCCCAACTTGGCCTTAAAATTGATATCCTCTTGCTTTGATCTCCTGAGTGCTGAGATGATAGGCGTGTCCTATTATCTGTACAATGCTTTTAAATTTTAAGACATTTCATAGTAGAATATAGTCTTTATCCTAAAAGCCTTTTTATTTCCCTAGGAAATGATGTCACTGAAAAGACATGTTTAAAACCTTACTTTATGAACAGGAAATAAATTCACATATCTGATTGCCTCATTTTACAGTTGAAGACACTAAAGTCAGAGACAGTGTAATTTGTTCAAGTTTATATAAATTGTCATGAATCTTGAACCAGATCCTAGATTTCCAAATACCCCACTTAAGCCTAGCTATGCCCTTTCTAGTGTAGCACTCAGCAATTAAGACTTCCTAATTATTTTAAACAAACTCTTTTTCAAGCTGAACATCTTGAATGATTTGGCTGGAGGTATTCTGACTTTCATAATTGGTATTTTATTTCACTGGTTGTTAGTAAGGAAGCTAAATTTATGGCTTGCAAAAGCAATTTTCCTTGGAGAACTACTTCCATCCTTCTTATGTGTATCAGATTCTAACTGGTTTTCATTTGGGTCAAGTTAGAGTATAGTTGATAAACTAATGCTTTTGTCTGCTCTTAATTGTTCTAATAGGAAAGTTAAAGCGTTAATTAAGTTTAGGAGACTTAGACAGTATTTTAATTCTTTTCTTTTTCTCTGTGGGAACTGCTTTCCTAATTGAAGTGATATATTCTTGTTAGTCAGGGGTAGAGTCTAAGATAGAATGTAGATCTTTGAGTACTGCATTCTGTAATTTTTATTGACTAACACTTTCAGAATTTCTCTGTGAACAATGCCTTGTCTTTATAACCTTATGTGCAGTCTGGTTTGGAGCAAGCTGTGCCAGGGACCACTGGGAACCAGTGAGGGTATTTGCTCTGTAGCCTGCATGGCCAGGGTAGACTTGGCTGAGACTGTTTTGGAACTCTGAGTATGACTGTTCCGTCTACCACCATCATTCTGGTACTGCTACAGTAGGTTAAGCCCACAATGGAAAGTTTATGTGGGCTATGGGTGGAGTCCTGGTGTGTTTTTCTTTTTCAGACTTGAGGCTTTTGAGGTGCATCCAACAGAATTGCCCACTCAGAGAATATTATATGGAAACAAAAGTAGGGCTAAGATGGAATTTTGTTGAGATGGTTTCTTTGAAACATTTAAGTGGAATTTTCAAACTCATTTTAGGACCTGTGGTTTCTTTTATTTTTCTAAGAATTTAAAAATTCAAATTGTTACATAAACTTTTATGTCATGAGATTTATTGATGGGTTAAATAAGATTTTAAGATACACTGAAACTATTTCATCTATGAACTGTCTTGAAAAACTGAAACAGGGACCTTTTCCTTATGTGCAGTGTTGTCAGCTGTTAGTGCTCATATTTATAAATAGGTCATCTTTGTTTGAGAGAACACACAAGGTTTTCTAACCCCACATCATTCCAGCCAGAGAATTGCTACATTAAGCAGAACTGTCAAAGATAAAACTGGAACCAAATGATGACCGACTGTCCAAATGTTAACCTTTTCCTGCTGCCACATCTTTCTTTATTTCTGGTTGTTGCTTCTAAAATGATACAATAAAACACAAATAAGGCTATCTTGTAAGCATGGTGATCACATACCCCTGTTTTTCCAGAGTAATGCTGGATGATGCCTATTACTGGTAGTTTTTTTGTTTGTTTTAAATCTATTCTTGAAAGTGTTCTGTTTGGATAGTAAATTATCTGGTCACCTTATGTAATAATCATATTGTTGTAGTAGGTCTGAGATGTTGAAATGTTATTTGAAGTAGGGCCATAGATAATGTCTATACCCCTATTTTGCCTACATCAGGATGTTTCTCCCTGACCAAGTATTTTTATATTAAAAAGAATTCATGTAATTATTGAACAAGGAAACACATTTTGTGAGGTTTAGAACCATTTCTATGCTGTCTGATTTTTTTTGGAGGTTATGCAATCTTGCTGAATCCTTCCTAGTCTATAAACAGAAAGTAATAATGCCCTCCTATTATTGTTGAGTTGTGAGAATTTCAAAAGGAGCTCACATGGTAGAAGGCGAGAGCCTACTGCTGTACATTGTCCTCTGACCCTCACACAAGTAAGTGACCACGTGCATGCGCGTGCCCCTGCCACACAGAATAGATAAGTACATAAATAAATAAATCTACAAAACAGCTATTTAGTAGAGTATTTACTTTTTTTTTTAGAACTGTTTTACTGTGGGAGAGCATTGGAGGCCAGGGGTTGAAATTTAAACACGTTAGTGTGTAGAAAAGAATGTCCCAATTGTAAATGAGGAACATAGACAATGATGGTCAGAGATGAACTATTCTAAAATATACAACCAGAGATAAGAATTAGGATACAAATGGAAGGGTTACATAGCCAAGGGCTGCACATTATCCTTGTTAGTTTGCTTTTTGGTTTTGTTTTGTTTTGTTTTTGAGACATGGTTTCTCTACATAGCCTTGGCTGTCATCAAATCGCTCTGTAGATCTGGCTGGCTTCAAACTCACAGAGATCCGCCTGCCTTTGCCTCCCGTAGTGCTGGCATTACAGGTGTTTGCCATTGTGCCTGGCTATTAGTTTGCATTTTTTATGCCAATGGTATATATAGTGTAAAACCGTAGATCTTGCTTTCACTGTTCTTT